CCAGGCAAGTGAGAAGCCTGCCTGTAATTCCACCCTCAGAAGGTGGAGATCTCCAGAGCATGCTGGTTCCCAAGATAAGTCATGCCAGTGAACTGTGTTTGATTGAGAGACACTGCCTCAAGAAGAATAGGTGGGAACTGGTAAGGTTGTTCACTGGGCAGGGGCATTTGCCATCAAGCCTGATGAGCTAGGCTAACTTTCTGGGACCCACACAGTGGAAAGAGAGCCATGCATCCTCACCTACTCCACCCCCCCACCCACACTCACAGAGAGAGAGAGAGAACAAATATTTAAAGAATAAGGCAAGCCGGCGATGCCGGCCCATGCCTTTAATCCCAGCACTCGGAAGAGAGAGGCAGGCTGATCCCTGTGAGTACAAGGCCAGCCTGGGCTACAGAGTGAGTTCCAGGAAAGGCGCAAAGCTACACAGAGAAACCTTGTCTCGAAAAACAAAAACAAAAACAAAAGAAAATTGAAAATGATTCTAGACTTCTAGACATCAACCTTGGGCCTCCATACACACCCATCCACAAGTGCCTGTACACCCTACACTCTCATGCCCCAACACATGCACACCACTTATACACGCATGGAAAAGGAAAAGGAAAAATGCAAAGTTGAAAGCTGACTTCTGAGTTAACAAGTATTCATAACATTAATCATTCATTAACCAGTTAATGAAGAACTGTGAGTTCAGCTGTTTCCATACATGTGAGTATTAGGGAGACTGGCACACAGGCCATGAATTTGGACACACCCTTGAGTGTGCCAGTTTAAGAAAGAGAGTCCTCCTAAGATTTCAACACAGATAGAAGCAGATGCAGAAATCCATAGTCAAACAACAGGCCAAGCTCAAGGAATCCAGTCGAAGAGAGAGAAGAGGGATTCGATGAGCAAGGGCATCAAGATCATGATGGGGAAACATGCAGAGACAACCAAACCAAACTAGTGGGAACTCATGAAATTTAGATCAACAGCTGTGGAGTCTCCGTGGGACTGAGCTAGGCCCTCTGGATAGTGAGACAGTTGTGTAGCTTGACCCGCTTAGGGAGCCCCCTGGCAGTAGGATCAGAATCTATCCCTGGTGCATGAGCAGGCTTTGTGAAACCCACTACCTATGATGGGGCACCTCGAACAGCCTTGAGGCAGGGGGAGGGGCTTAGACCTGCCTCAACTGCATGTTCCCCCCCATGGGAGGCCTTTCCTTCTTGTAGGAGGGAATGAGGGGTGGGCTGGAAGGGGGAGGCTAGAGGGGCAGGAGGAGGGAAGAGGGGGATCTTTGATTAGTATGTAAAATGAATTAAAAATTTTCTTAATAAAAAAATAATAATAATAAAATAAAATATAAACAAAAATTTCATCATAGAGACCAGCATCCACTCACCTTAGCACTGGATGTCAATTAAGACTTGGGAAACAGTTGTATGGGAAGATGTGTACTCATGAGACGTGGTCCATCCTGGTCCAGCAATAGTTTCTGCTCATCTTTAGACTCAAGCCCTGGAGACCTGGCAAAATTTTTGACAGTTTGTACCCGAGTAGGGTCCCCTTTGGAGACAATCAGACTGATCATTTCAATCATCCAGTGTGTTCCTGGTTGTGGGAAAATGAGAACAATCAAATTACATTACATTATCATAGTAAAGAAAATGTTTCATATGTTGAATGATTAAGGTATTTTTATTTGGTTTTATTCTTAGGTTTCACTTTTGTGTTTTCTGCTTGGATACAAGCCAGCAGACTTCCATGTGGTTTCATCGTACTTTTTAATCTTGGTTAATCCTTCCTCCGTTCCTGAACTCCCATCTCCCCTTATATCTCTAATTCTCATATCATCCCTGTTTAAAACTTTCCACCCACAGTAATACCCCTCTCTACTTTCCTTTTGCCTGTGTTCTATTATACCCTCCACCTTTAACCCACCACCACCACTGCTGGTTATTTATGTTTGTTTGTTTGTTTGTGTCAATGTGACATAAGCTAGAGTCATCTTGGAAAAGGAAACCTCAATTGAGAAAACGCCACCATCAAATTGGCCTGTAGGGAGCCTGTGGAGCACAGTCTTGATTAATGATTGATTTGGAGGAACCAGACCACTGTGGGCAGTACCACCCTGGGCCAGTGGTCCTAGAATATAAGAAAGGAAAGCAGGCTGAGTAGACCAGGAGGAGAAAGCCAGTAAGCAGCACCTTTTGATGGCCTCTGCTTCAGTTACTGCCTCCAGGTTCCTACCCTGTTTGAGTTCCTGCCTTGGATCCCAAAGTCAAGGACTTACATTGATGTTACAGATGGTTGTGAGCCACCATATGTAGATGCTGAGCCCAGATCTCTGCAAGAGCACAAAGTGCTCTTAACGGTGTAGCCATCTCTCCAGTCCTGCCCCTCATTAGCTCATATTTTCTCCACTCACATTAAATTTAACAGAAATATTAAAGGATGTATAAATACCGTGACAGAATGTAATATCAATATTGCACATTTTTATATCATTTTAAACAAATCTACCTCTTTACCTGGATATCATATCTACATGTTGACTCTTCGAACATCACTTTTTCTAGCTTTTTTGAAACAACAATCTATACTGTGAGTGGCGTACCACATCATCTCATTTATCTAATTATAGCTTTATATAGATTTGTCAAACTTCCTTCTACTTACCTATTTTTCCCAGGTCTATGTATCTGTCTAATCAGATCTTAATAGTATAACAAAAATTAAAGAGATATGCTTGGTTTATTGGTAATGAAGGCACAAGCAGTCTGATTGCTCTCCTACCATCCCACCTCATACAGGGTTATATGGAGTTCCATAGACTTACCAGGGCTCCATGAAGACATTAGCAGAATAAAAAGAGATGAGAAATCTTGTATCTAAGGTGACTGCATGAAAAAAGGTTTAGTCATCCCTCCTGACCCACCCTCTGGTTCTGCCTTGTGATAGCATAAACCACATTAATTTTGTTTTAACCTCTATATTAATTCATGTATCTATTTGCAACAGCTTTATTGAATACTGTGATCCTTACAACTCTCAACTTGACAGAAACTAGAAGTACTTGGGGAAAGTCTTTGGTTTTTTGTTTGTTTTTGTTTTTTAGTTGGAAAAACACTAGTTTCTTTTGAGACATTCACCTCTACCGATTCTCACATCTGAATATAAGTACACCAGGAAAGAAAGAAAGTATATCACTTGAAAATGGTCCTTTGTGTTAGTAGTAAGGCATGCACTTCTGACAAATGAAAAGATGCTCATAATACTGAATGTCAGAAATAAGCTATTGATGTTATTTCTTGCTTTATGGGGGGAAAAAGAGCAAGCTGTCTAGAATGTCTAGTTAAAGTATTTTAATCAATGGTTTTGAAACAAAAAATACCTGGTTTTACTCCAAGCCCTTTCATTTGTTAGCTTCAAGAGGCCAAGCAAGATACTTATCTTCTCCAAAGCCCGTTCATTTCACAATGAATCATAATGCTTGCTAAAATCTTCATCCCTGTTTCTCTTACCCATCTCGCATACTTTTTTTTTGTTTTGTTTTGTTTTGATTTGTTTTTAAGTGCTGGGATCCTTTCATGTAGATGAAAGTGAGATGAAAGAGGTGAAAATATCATTTTACAGGACAGGATTGACAAGGTCATCAACTTTGCTTTCAACATACTGACTATAAAATGCTCTGAGAGTTATCCCAGTTGGGAGAGGGGTCAAGAGCTTTGTTTAAAGCCCCAGAATTTACCCCAATACCCTGTCCTGTCAGCCTGTCTTCTTGATACTGTTCTTGATACTTTCTGGTTTCATGAACTCACTTCAAGTTTTCTCATCCCTCCAGGGAGAAAGTCTTAATGAGAAATTATCTAGATCAGGTTGGTCTGAGGGGGATTGTCTTGGTTGTTAATTAACATAGGAAGACCCAGCTCACTGTGGACAGCACCATTCCCTAGACAGGAGTTCCTGAGCTATATGAGACCAGAGAAGGAAGGCAGAAAGTCACAGTCATTTCTACATGGACCATGGACATAGTGTGACTAGCTTGCTTGCTTTTCAGCCTTGAATTCCTCTCAATGATGGATTGAATCCTGCAACTGTAAATGTTAATAAACTGTTTTCTCCCCAAAGTTGTGTCTTATCAGGGTATTTCTAGGGAAGACACTAACTCTTGAAGTACAAATAATTATTGTCTGAAAATGAGGTGCCATGAATGAGAAAGTGTGCTCACATTCACACACCTGGAAATGGCAGAGCCAACTGGAAATCAAGCAGTGTTCAAGTCTTGCCCATCTCAGTGTCTGACAATTAGTGAGAGTGAGCCCTGAGTCAGCCTCATCTCCATCCCATTCTCAACATTTCCCATCCCCAAGATGAGAGAGAAGCTCTGTGTTTCTTGAGAGCACCCCGAGATTTAGAAACTGACAAGAGCTAATGGAAACCTGCAAGAGGTACCTTTCCCTGGGAGACACAGTCATAAAATATGATGAGCTGAGCTAATTATTACTGACACACTAGTGATGTGTGGGTGCCTTTTCAGTTACACAGTTACTTGATGTAGGGATCTGTGCCTCAGGACCAGTCTAAGACCATGTTAGATAGGTAAGTAAGCATATAGGGTGGTAGATGACAGATATACAAATAGATAGATAGATAGATAGATAGATAGATAGATAGATAGATAGATAGATGATAGTAGATAGATAGATAGATAGATAGATAGATAGATAGATAGATAGATAGATAGATAGATAGAAGATAGATGATAGAGTCTATCTCCAAGATTCCTAGCATACAACTTCTAATATCACGTAATCTCTGAATTAGTAGAGGTTTTCTGTGCATAAGAAAAGTGGCTATGCCCCATAAATAGGCCAAGGATATAAGCTGGTCACCTGAATCAATGCAACAGAATTAGAGGGTTGGAATTTTTCAGCCCCACTCCCTAACCTGTACATAGGGGAGGCAGACCAAGGGTTAAGTTGATCATAAATAGTCAGTATTTGTTTTAAACTATATGTTTTTCTTTTTTATTCTTTTATAATTTCAAACATATAATTTACTTTGACCAATATTTTAATCAGTCATCCCTACTTGTGCCTCCTAAGATCCTCAAAGGACAGGATTTTAGGGAACTGATGTGTTGAAAATTTCATAAGCATTTTTGGTGGAAATATAAAATGGTGTAACTGACATTGGAAAAAGCATACAGATTTTGGTGATTTGGATGGGAATGGTCCCCATGGGCTCATATGTTTGAATGTTTGATATCTAGGTAGTGGAGCTGTTTGGGAAGAATTAGGAAACATGCTCTTGTTGGAGGAGATGTGGGCCTTGTTGGAGGAAGTGTCACTGAGGCTGGGCTTTGAGATTTCAAAAGCCCACCCAAGGCCAGTCTCTCCCCCTACCCTCTCTCTGCCTGCAATTTGTGAATCAAATGTGAGCTCTCAGCTTCTGCTACAGTGCCATGTCTGCTGGTCTGCCACCATGCTCCCTACCATGATGATTACGTACTAACCCTCTGAAACTGTAAGTAAGCCCCCAAATAAATATCTTCCTTTATAGTTGCCTTAGCCATGGTGTCTATTTACA